ATTGAAAACTATTATGAAGTCATGGTGGTTTTTAGAGAGTTTCTGAAAAGAGATTGCACAGTCTCCTTAGAAATACAGTTGAGTTTTTAACAACCCTCATTGTAGGGAAAGGTCATTTTAATATCTAACTGGAATCCCAACGGCTATAATAAAAGGGCAGGTCCTCCTTTTCAGTCCCCGTTAGAGATGGCAAAGTGTTGGTTACTAGCTTCCTTATAAATAAATGGTCATTGAATACCTAATGTGGGTGTATTCTGTTCTTATAACAACCAGTTATGCATTCAGATTATGAAGAAGTTACTTTACAACTCTATTTCCAGGCCAAATGAGCCCATAAATATTTTCTCCTTGGGGTCCCAGTTTCCGGCTCTCTATTCATCTTTGCAGCCTTTTTTGCAGATGGTCTGCAGTCCACCCAGCAGGAAGCACATTCCTCAGTAGTTGCTGAGTAATTTGGAATACAAGAGATTATTCAATCAGTTCTTTTGGTTTACTTTTTCAGTTCCTTTTGTTTATACCTGTGGATTGTACACAACAGCCTTTTTCTACCACATGTGGAATCCTTCCAAGCTTTGCCTTAAGCTTTTGTAACTCTTGAATAGAGGAAAATAGACAGGAAGAAGGCAGGAAAGACATCAGTAACATATGGATACAGAAAGCCTTATTTATGAAATAAAGTCAGAGAAAAGTATCCTGTACCCACAAAAAGAACAGCCTTCTCTTTCAGTGCTTTTGTTCCAAATCACTTGGAGCAAATAAACCAGTAACACTGTGTTGGGAGGGGAGCTGATAGCGATAATCCTGTGTGTGCAAAAATGGAAATGACAAGGGAATTCTTATAGCACGGCATCTAAAATAAAGTGGTGACTGTAGTTTCTTTAAAATTTCTCTCCTCACAGTTGGAAGCCAGGCAAGCAGTCAATGAATAGTTGTCTGCGATGACTTGGAATGTTCTGTGGGAAATTATAGAGCTTGTATTGCTTTTGAAGGATAGAAAGAAGTTAGAGAGACCAAACCAAATTGCTGTCATTCCAATAATTAATAATAAAAAGGGTGAACAAAAATGAGATGTTAGAATCCAAGCAATGTCTACGAGAGTTCTAAATGTCACAGATTGGTGGTGATGGCTGAACTGGCCGGGACAGAGTAACCATGAAGGAGAGGGATGTGGACGGGCACCAGAGAGGTAGACACAGACAGGTGTTGGATGCCTAGCAGGGTGCGGAGGGCTGATTACACTGACCACTGCCCAGCTCCTGTTGCAGTCAGGAATCCACCTCCCAGGTAAATTAGTCACAATTGAATTTGGGGTAACATTGTAGTCATGGGCTGAAATCAGAAGCGCAGGAGAGAAAGTGAAGAAAGCTATCAAGCCCCAGGAAGTGACTATGCTTTGCAATCATGTTGCTGGAGCAATTTTCCTGAGAATGAGTGGCAGTGGTTTTCCTCAGGCAGTCCAGTACCCTAATATGAGCCAAGTGTGTGCTTGCACAGACACATACGCACACATGTGATGATTCTGCAGATACTATCCCAGTGCACCTGTGGTTATCAATGCGCACACGCACACACACACTCACACTGTCACACACACACTCACACACACACACACACACATACCTTCCTCCCTTCTCTCATGAAGCCAACATAGAAAATAAGGAACTATACTTCAGGGCCTCCTGGAGCCAGTTCTGAACACACAGAAGAGAATTGCTACAACTTTTGTGAATACGTGGAAATTCTTACAGGGAAAGCCACACTATGCTCTTAGAAAGAAAGCTTAGAAAATGAGACAGAGGGGAAAAAAAGAAAAAACAATGAGGTGAAGCATAAGCAGGTAGAGAAAAGAAGAAAGAAAAAAGAAGAGAAAGAAGAAAGCAGCACACTGATTCAACTTTAGAGGAATTTGCTCTGTGGGTAAGGATGTCTGATTAAATCTCTTGAGATATCAAATGTGGGTTTGGGTATTTGTGAGTAGCTCTGCAGCTGCTTCTGCATTACCAGGGCCTTGGCCCTGTCTGTCTTTTAATGGCTAAATGACTAAGAATGTAGGCCTTGGTGACTTCTTCCATGCATCCTCATTTCTTTTACCTGGGTGGTCCTCAAAAATGTTTGTTGAATTAATGAAATTATTATTATATCCTGAAGTTTGAGTTCCCAAAACAAACTGTTATTATAAAGTCAATACCACTTTGCTTTTCTTTCTCTCGGAATCTCTCTCCCTGGCCCCTGGCTCTACCAGGGTCAGAGTGAGCCTCGTGGACAGCCAGTGCCCCATACTGGCTTTTCTCCCTTCTTTCACCACCCTAACCCCAAAGTCATTCTACTCATTTGCAAAGTTTTATAATTTTGTATTTCATTCTCTCGACCTAAGTTAAAGGATTCTACAAGTTTTCCTAGGAGAGGAAAATACTGAGCCATATCAAACACTGTGACTGGGTCTGAGGTCGTATGTAGGATTCTTTGCTAAAGATGGGATTTGTATCTGGACAGAGAGAATTCTGGTTACCTGAGCACAAGAGTGGACACATAAAGGCAAAGTGGGAATCCAGGGAGCAATGACAACATGCTCCTGCCCCTCTATTTTATCTCGTTAGGCTCCTGCCAAGCTATACTCATCTGCAGCTTGGGCTGTTTGCCTTGGTCATCCTGCTGGCTTCCGGTCCATCATAGTTTAGTACCTAGGAAGCTAAGGGTGTTTTTGTCTCTGCCTTGTCAGCTCAGCAGCAGGGCAGCTATGCTCAGTACACAAAAGCCTTTTCCTTTTTTTGTTGTTTTTTTCTGGTACCGGGAATCGAACTAAGGTCAGTGAGTCAGCCAACAGCACTGTCCCAGCCCTGTTCCCAGCAGCATGAGAGAGGACAGACACAAGCTAACTGACTGTAACAGAACAGGCTGTACAAGAGCTGTGATTGGGCTAATCGTACACGGGATGGAGAGCAGACTCAGTCTGTCTCTGTCTGAGGGCACCACAGCAACTGGAAGAGCAACACGGAGACAAATAGGGTAAGGAGAAGTGGGCAGGCCACCTAGGAGCACCTTAAAAGTTGCTGGCTAAAGACTCTGGACGAAGACATGACATCAGAAAGCCAAAATGAGCTTCACATGCACGCTACTCCTATTGCAGACTTGGGGTTACCAAGCTGAGCTAAATCCCCATCCCCCAAGCCTTTTCCTCTTTGTGCTCATTTCCTAAGCAGCTGTTTCTCGCTAGATACACCTTTTAGGGTGGTAATATCACCAGTCAGTGGTGCCCAAAGAACTGGAGGAAGAGAAAAAAGGTAATCAGCCCAAATCCAAAGTACCCTCCCTGCCTGGTGCCCTGGCATGATACATCTGATACGTTCTCTTTACCCTGGGTTTAGTTATTCTCTCCCAGGACTTCACCAAGTGAAGGGAGGGTGGGAACATAAGTAGGCTGATGACTGCCCCCCTCTTCCCTCCAGAGGACGTGGACCGATGGAAATTCGTTGGTCAGTGTGCCCATGGTTCTGGTGGTGAAAGTGTTAGCCCCCACCCCATTCCTCTCTCATTTGGATGGTCATGAAGTTGGAACCAAAGTCTGAATGAGTCTCACCATGTGTTGTTGTTTTGAAATGTGTCTAATAAATCTCTGACCTTTCAGAAACTCTTCTTTTGGGCGGTTGTGCTTTCTCTTGCTTTTTATTAGTATGTGTTTACTGCCCTATTACTGAACCGATTCTGCTTGGTTTCCTCCTTCACCCTTTAATTTGGTAGCACCTTATTTTACAGTCTACTAACTTTGTTGAAAACAAATTCACTTTACCTGTGTGGTTAGTATTACTTATTTGATAATATAAGTACCATATTAGGGTGCGGTGAATGCATAGTTTAAGTGCCATGCAATTACAAGGTAAATATATGATGGGTTTATTTTATCCTCTCAGCCCAACACAGGGTGACATTGTAATTACTTTTGGACCCATTAAGTGAACTTAGTGCATAATCTGCAGGAAGATTAACTATGTAGTTAGCTCTTGCCTCCTTCCATCTCCACACACCTTCTGAGATGACATCTCTTTTAGGGTTACGTTTTCTCAGATAAATCCACTAGGCTGAAATGCAGTAGCCATTATGGATGGGCTACAGGAGTAAAGCACACCCAGTGCACATCTGGAAAAGAGTTGAAAAGCAGCTGTAGCACATCCTGGGGGCGGGGAGACACCCACATTCTAAGTTCAAACTAACGCTTTTATTTTTGCTTTGCCCATGCATTCAATAGGATGGAGTAGGAGAGGTATGGGAGAAACAGCATGTGCCCTCTGAGAGACCAGTCCTCCCCACAGTAGAGTGTTGGAGTCTAGTATCTGACTGGGGCCAGAAAGTAATTACCATGGACATAAGAGCCCCTGGGACCAAGACCTTCACCACCCACAATGAACACTATATGACAATGATTGCATATATCCTGAACTGAGGCTGTCGATCTTCTCTGAATCTGAATGAGCTGTGTCAAAGCTAAAATTCCTGTTCGTGAGCTCTGGTCTTCTCCCGACTCATAGACCATGGGTTAACTTCTTGCCCTACACCACTGTCTGCGAATGCATGTGCCCCGGTCATCAACAAGCAGAGCCGTCCCACTTTGTCATTTGTGTGAACTTGTCCTCTTTCAGTGAAAGTAAAGTATAAAATATACTTTAAAGGTAAATGACTTCTTAAAATATGTATATTAAGGAATTGTCTGTTTTTACTAGGAAAATATTATGTTCTGTACAAAATTGATTCCCTGCAAGAGTCTATTACATGGTAAGCTACCTTAATGCAGTTAAGATACTTGACTAGCACCATTTTAATTTATACAAGGCATTTGAAAAACAGGATTATTGTTTGAATGAGAGTACAACTCATGGCTAGCTACATATATCATTTCCTATGAACGATAGCTCCAAAAATCCAAGAGCATTTCATTTTGTATCCCATGGTGCATCTCTGCCCCCATGCCCTTGCTGGCCATTTAGGAATCGTCTTGTGTCTTCCAGGCATCGAGAATGCCAGCGACATCGCTCTATATTCGGGCCTGGGTGCTGCGGTCGTCGCCGTTGCAGTCTTGGTCATCGGAGTCACCCTTTACAGACGGAGCCAGAGTGACTATGGCGTGGACGTCATTGACTCCTCTGCATTGACAGGTGGCTTCCAGACCTTCAACTTCAAAACGGTCCGTCAAGGTCAGCGGCGTAGGTCCCCCATACCTCGTCCTCAGGACCAGCGACTACATTTGCACAGGGACCCCAGAGTTCTTGGGGGCCTGTGTGAAGGTAGCTCTGGGCACTGGGAGCCGCTACCGCATCGTTTTTACACAATAGACCAAAGCGCGAACAGGCGGTCTGCTGACATCCTTCACCACAACAAGGGCAAGTGAATCTCAGGTCACCATTATCAGCATTTTAAATGAGGCAATTCCATCTTTGATGTGTAGTGAGACTAATGAGTTATTTTATCACAAATTATCCAACTTTCTCATTTAACAAAGCTGATTTGAAGATACATATTTAATTTAGTTAACTAAAATACTGACTTCAAGGCTGAGGATGAAGTCTCAGGTCATAACCTCCCAGGTGTATTTATTACACGAAATTTTGGGTTCTTGTATCTCAAGTAAGTAAAAAGACTTTAGAAGATATATGAGGGGTCACTTAGCCAGGGGAAAAAATGAAACTGCAGCCTAAATGCCTCTCAGCTGTCACCAGGTCCAAGCAATCTTATGTAGCAGGGGAAGCAGCATCTATCATGTCAAACTGTAGCAATACTCATTTTCAAAACACAGAATCGCTTAATTCTCTTAGATGAACCAAATCTGTTCCTGACTGCAAGGTGGGAATGAGCCATTCATGGCTTTCATTTCAGAAAAACTGACACCATCACTCTTCACGAGATGACGTTTGCTGCCTGACCCTAAACGTCCATATTGTCCCCCTGTTTCTATTTACTGTGAGTCAGTAATGCTTATGGCACAGGTAGAGAGATCTAGCTTAGCACTGGCTGAGTAAACAGGCCAGTGAAATGGAAATCCAGACCTGCTAGAAAATAAAAGAAAAACACAACTGAGAGATGGCCAGGAGAACATAAGAGTTTCCCCTCCTGCCGTTTACCCCCGGGCACCTCAGGGTCTGGCCTTCCAGACCAGTGCCTATTCTGGATTCCAGTATCTAGTTGAACATATGTGATTTTAATTTGTTATAAATCCAGTGAAGAGCTGATTTTTACACTACATAGGAAACTAGAAATATATTTCCATCAAATAATAAGATGTCAGTGTCATAAACACTTGAAAACAGAAGAACGACATTAGATAGTGTGAGAGACAGTGTTACACATAAGTGCACAGATTTTAATGTCAGTTAATTTTGAGTCTAAACCTTCTGTGTTAACTATTTAATCAATTATCCTGGAGTCACAGTTTTTATAGCTATAAAATAAATATACTAGGAGAATGAAATTACCTAGAATAATGTGGGTAAGACCTTGGCATATGGGGAGTGGTCACAAATGTAATGAATGTAGTTGTAGAAGGAGGTAATTTCCTCTCACCTTAGCATAACATGCCAGCATGCTGGACAGAGCACCAAACAGCAGGCTGGAGGACACTAGTTTATATAAGTTTAATTGCGTCTCCTTAGGGAGGTGCATTTCTGACCCTGTGTGTACTGTGATCTCTAAGAGAATATATTGCCTTTCCAAGTTACCAGACCATTTTTTTTAAATTTTTGGCCAAGAATCTGACAGAACTAGAGAGAGAAGGGAAAACCTTTGGTAACTGCTACTCTCTATATTCATTGTGATGCTGAATTTCACAGCAATGGTGGTTGACTTTGACTTCTAAACCTTAGAGATCCATCTTCAGCAATATACCCAGGACCCCAGGAAGGGGAATAGGAAGGCTGTTAAACAGAATGTCATGGGCTGGTAGAACACTTGACTAGTATACCAGTCAAGTACACTAGTATACTAGTATACACTAGTATACTAGTACTCTAGTATGCTTGACTAGTATACTGGAGGCCCTGGGTTCCATCTCAGCACTACAGAGAGAGATAGAGACAGAGAGAGACAGGCACAGAGAGACACAGACAGAATATAAATGAATGTCATATTTAGAGTTGACCACGGACTTGAAAATTGATTTCCAAGATGTATTGGAAAGAACAGGGGTGGGTGACTGTCGCTGATCAGACTTCTGTCAAAGTAGCTGCTGGTACTCTTGAACTGTAGACTCTGACATGTTCACTTTTGTTTACTCGGGTATTTTCCATGCCTGTGCTGTCTAAATATAGGAAATATTTTTGCTTCTTGGCTTTGCATAAGCGAAGAGGGCCTTTCAAAAGTAGGGAAAAATTAAGTCTCAGAAGGTTAGAACTTGACATCAAATAGCCAAGAGACTTTGGGATAAAATTTTGACGTCTCCAATGAAACTCTTTTCAGTTGTAAAATGGCTCTCTGGTCCCACTTCTTGTCTGGAAGACCATACACAAGAGCAAGGTCAGGACCTATAGAAGTCATTGTGGTTCTTTTGAAAAGCACAGAGTCTCATCGGTGCTTTTGTCTTGGCCCTGTGGCCTGAAGCATGGAAACCTCAGGCACCATCACGGAGTCTTTAGATCTACAGTGTTATTTCATCTCATCTGTGCATCTTTTCTATGACTGCAGATTCTTAGAACATCCAAACAAAATGTGGAGAAAGGCAGGGTTATAGATTTCCTGCTGGCATCATTGCAAATTATGAAAATGGAAACACAATAGCCGCTAATACAATATGGCCCAAAATTGCAACATTTTCAAAAATATCATACTTTAAGCATTTTGTCAGGCCCCAAAGGAAAATTGTTTAATATGGTTTGGGTTTCAATTTGAGATGTCACATTGACAGACTGATATGGGCGGGAGGCTTGGGACTGAGGGTTATTTTGTTATTTACTAATAAATGAGATTACTTCATCACAAGAAAATATCACAGCATTTCTTTTTAATATTTGGCTGGGAAAAACATTGCTAAGGCCCAACAGATGACAAAGTCCAATTTCTTACATTTTTGTACAGGTTTTTTTTTTTTTTTCCATTTGTTTTGAGACAGAAAGCAGATGATTCTGAGCGCTCCCCATGTGGAATCTGAGTTGCTCTTGGTCCCAGTGTGGCACTTTCTTCCCTCTCACAGTGACATATGTGACATTCTAGCGAATCAGCTACTCAGGCATGGAGCAATTCATGAGGTTCCTTGACCTGTTTGTTCTGTGGACACATCATTTCCTCCCTGGCTTCAGAAAGTGCCCCAAACGCCACAAGAAATGTGCTGGAACCATCAAAGCTGTGTTCTAAGCAGCACTACCTAGTCACCACGCTGTGTCATCACTTGCCATTTAAAATGAGCAGACGTTATTTTTGCTCCAAACTGAATTGCAAAATAATTTTTTTGTTAGCTTCTCTTTTCTGGTTAAACTAACCTCATAAACAACAGGACCTGAGTCAGTTACCTGACTGAGTACCAGCAATACTTACTTGGAAAAGACAAAGTGTGCAGAGTTCAGAAAGGGAACATTGTGGCCCATGGCATTTAGAAAGATGGGTGGAAAGGGGCCTCCTGATTCTCAGGCCTAGTCTACTTGCTCAGGGTGGGAGGGTGGCGCCGGTGTGCTGGCTCGGATCTGAGCATCTGGCAATCACGCAGGTGTCTTTGCGGTTCACAGAGACAATTCTAGAAGGGTAACAGAGGTGTCTTTTAGTGTCTGAGTGACAGATCAGTTGTTTTTTTTTTTTTTTTTTTTTTCTTAACCAGGTAACTCCCTGCTCCTGAACCCTGCCATGCAGCCGGACCTGACAGTGAGCCGCACATACAGTGGCCCCATCTGTCTACAGGACCCGCTGGACAAGGAGCTTATGACGGAGTCCTCACTCTTCAACCCTCTGTCAGACATCAAGGTCAAAGTCCAGAGCTCCTTTATGGTTTCCCTGGGAGTGTCAGAGAGAGCTGACTACCGTGGCAAGAACCACTCGGGGACCTTTCCCCATGGAAACAGCCATGGCTTTAGCGCAGTGCATCCCAGAAACAAAACTCCCTACATCCAAAACCTGTCGTCCCTCCCCACAAGGACAGAACTGAGGACAACCGGTGTCTTTGGCCACTTAGGGGGGCGCCTCGTCATGCCAAATACAGGTAGGTGGTGAATGTATGTCGTGTATCCTCCAGCATTTGTTTATTTTTTGTTTTTGGTTTTTTTTTGGGGGGGGGCGGTTTCTCCGGTACCGGGAACCGAACTCACGACCTTGCGCTTGCCAGGCAGGCGCTTTGCCGCTGAGCTAAATCCCCAGCCCCTCCAGCATTTGTTTAAATACCTTTTGTTTATGTGATTGATTACAGCCTGTCAGGTTCACTTTATATGTACTATTCCCTTGTCAGAGCAGCAAATGTCATGCCTCCAATATGTATGTGATGTGTGCTGCAAACCAGAACCAACCCTGCGACCAGACCTTATACTCTTCATCTCAGAACGGAATGAGCCCTGGAAGGGCTGATACCCATATTCACTCAAAAGGTCAGGGGAGTCCCCAAGGATTAAGCCCCTTGGAATATGTTACCTAGAATGCGATCAGGAAGTGCCACAAACATTCTTTGATGTGACTGACAAGCATCAAGTTTATACACAAGTATGGTTTACATCCTAAGCTGATTATGCAGTGAAGTAATATTCAAATTGCATCAGTAGTTTACCTCTCCTAGTCCGTGGACCTTGCTAGGAATACTGCTTTGTGAAGAGGAATGATGAGGAATCATCGTGGAGTTGCTCTTTGGAATTAAAACTTCATTCCAGAGCTATGCTATAAGTACCATTAACTCACATGCATTCTTTTCCTCCACTGTGCTAGATTTCCATGTTATTATAATGGGATACTTTCAGATGTCCAATCCAGATCACTTTTTAAATGATATTGTATCTATGAATTCATCTTGAGTTGCTTCCTCAGACTTAAGTGAGTGGCAGAAGAGGTCAGTTTCCCCTCTGCGTTCTAAGCCATGTGAAGCAGGTAGTGTGCTAAATTAAGTACTGCCCCACTGGCTCCTGAGAGGGGCAAGATCCATTGTTCTCTGTGATTGTCATAAAATTACAGGTTAGCCTTGAGCCAGAGTCTCCACATGTTTCTCTAGAACATAGAGCTAACCAACATTTTATCTCATGAAATGGCAACTGTAATAGGACTAGTCTCAGGGTACGATTTTAGCGAACAGATCCCTCCAGTAGTAATTTACTAACTTGAAGCTAAACTTTGTCTTAGAATGATGAATACTGTCTTTTTCTCTCCCAGATCAGTTGCTTCCTTTAAAATGTCATTTTAAAATTAATTTTGATTTTTAAAAATAGCCCTCCAATGCAGCCCTAATAATGATTATGTTTTCATAGGCCTTCAGTTCTTCAAGTCTACTTTGATCATTGTTCTGGGACATGATTGGTGTCTTGCTTCAAATGTATATGAGTGTTGTATGGGGGATTTAATTTTTCCTGTTGATAATTGGCAGTGATCAGGGTTGTGGTTCTGGAGTTTTGCTAATTGGCATATAGGAGACTAAATGCAGATGAATCAGGCAGCTATATATGTTAATTGCAGCCAATTACATTCACCAAAAAGAAATGTGGGTCTTGGAGAAAGTGATAAATACAACATTTACCCTCTCAAAGAATAGGGTATACACATCAAACTCATGTGAAGTCGCAAACTGAGCCACTTCGCCTAAGTTTCCATCTTCTCTTTCTAGCTCAGGCTCGGCTCTTATGAGACTCATTGTGTACTGGTTAAATGGTTTGGTCAGTGCCCCCTCTTTTCTCATCCTCATTTGTTAGCGTACGTTTGTGTGTGTCTGTGTGTGTGTATGTGTGTGCATGTGTGCACTTTTTTATACACATTGAAGAAGTGCCAAGACCTGTCCATTCCTTTCCTGTGTTTGTTTCAAGTTCACCAGAGAAAGTGAGGAGATGAAATTGAGATGAAACAGATTTTTCTTTTTCTCCCTCTCTGACTTGAGAAGTAATCTGGTTGAGAACTAAAGTTCTTATAGCACTGTCAGTGACTCCCACACAGTTCCTCTGTGAAAGGGGTATTTTCAAAGCTCCTGACAAGATGCAATGGGTAAGATTGAAGCTCTTTACTGTGAATGAATTAGGGGGAAAATAAGCATGGGTATTGAAATGTATTCCCTGTTAGTTTGCAGGACATAAATGCAAAATATGCTCTGGGGAGCTGAAGTGTAAAGAAAGCAGAGCATAGAAATTAGATTGCTCTAATACCATCCATCCTAACTTGTCATATGGTGTGCTCTAGGAATCATTTATTATGCAAAATATGAAACAGGAAACTCAGACAGGTGGTTCTGTTGTCATATCAAATAAAAGGCTGCCAGAGTAGCAGGTGGAATGGGGGGGATACATTTTTCTTTAATCAGAGATAACTGATGAATGACATATTGAAAATGGATATTTCTTTAAGAGACCAGAGACATAAAGCTTTCCTACAGTGCCTCTCACTTTCCATAATATATCACTTACCACCAGCCCACCCCTCTACTACCCTTCATTATTGACTTCTTCAGTCTCCACACACAATTTGCATGTTTGGGTAGGAAGAGGGAAATATGCTTGAAAGAAAATAATAGCACTTCTGAGCAAAGAAGGGAGGAAAATAGTTTAAAGCTTCAGTGATCCTATGGATTCAAATTGAATTTAGGAATATCATAAATAATGTTTCAGTATTAACACAGAGAATCAAACCGACTTGAAAGGAATGAGATATGATGCATTCTGCAAACATTCTTTCTCAGCTGTCCTCTTACATATTTCTTCCCTTTGGGTCTGGAAGTAGAGCATTAGGATGTGACAATCTGCACAAGATAACAAGACTCTAAGCCCAGCCTTTTCACTGAGAATTTTGAATTCTATATGTTCCATCATTCATATATTCCTATGTTCACTGGGTTTCCACTCTGGGCCAGGCAAGCACTAGTGTTGTTGAGGTAGTGGGCATTATTGCGTGCTGATGGCCTGCTGTGTTCTACATGTGAAGGATAGGAATTGTATGTCTCTTTGTCTTCATGGCCTAGAAAGCCTAAAAAGGGGCAGCAGAGAGAAAGTGCTATGGCAAACTGTAATAAGGCAGAAGGAAGAGGGCACAGCTCAGGCTGACTCCCAGGCACAGGGAAAACTCTGCTTTACAATGTGTGTCCAATGGCAGGGAAAGGGATAATGGTGGCCACGCCACTGGGCAACTGCATTTAAGGAAGAATGGAACATGGAAGGAGGCACCTGATGGGAGGTCCCCAAGTGTGGCAATTGCATTTCTCCTAATATTGACGTGAAGGTCCAGAATATAGATGAACATCCCTGCTAAAAAAGCAGTGAGCAAGGTTTAAATGTGCCTCCTTCTTGGAGATAGTGAAAGATATTAATGACAAGTAGCATGTTACTGAACAATGCGTATAAATGTAAATCAGAAATAACTTGTGTTACAGAAAGTCTTGCATTCTCTGACTCTGTACCTGTTAGCAGACATATTGAAGATACTTGGAAAACCTGTCATCTTTAAGTTGTTAGCAAATTGAAAGCTTTCTGTATAATGAATTCTAATGAAAGGGGAAAATGTGAGCCATGCTTTATTAAAATATAGGAAGATGCATGAGATTTGATTTTGTCAGTAACTTACTGTTTTGGTATTTTATTTCTTTTTATAAATAAGAGGCAACACTAAAGAGAATCCCAGATCTCCACAAGTGTCTCTTTGGCCAAAGTGATCTACTTTCTTCATGGAATTGAAGAAGAAAAAAAGGGACATTAAATTATGCCTTTCTGTGACTTCTCTCCTTTCATGACATGATTTTACTAAAGTAGGGTGGGTGGGATTTTTATTTGATGTTGAAGTGAATATGACTACATCAGCTTTGGCCTTAACTCTTCCCAAGTTCTATTTGCTAACTTAAGACCATGTTGGTTATACAATAACCTAGAACATTCCTAGGTTCACCAGATGCTTTTACCTTTTCTATTTTGCTAATAAAATGCAGTAGTCCTCTGAACACAGCTCTCAGCCTACTTCCTGATGCGTACTTTGTAAGACAATTTCATACTAAATTGAAGGAAAGAATTAGCACATCCATCATCCATTAACTTTCTTGCAAGTTAATGGAAGTAACATTTATATTCTGGAGCAAATTTACTGATATGTTGATAAATTCATATATCCAGGTAAGCTTAATAATAATTGGTTTTAGGATACCCATTCTTTTAAGAGAACTTAAACATATCAGGAGGTAAAGAAAGTCTAAAACATCAACTAGTGTGGGAGTAGAGTTCAGTGACAGAGCACTAGTCTAATCTACAGGCGGTCTGGATTCAATCCCTGGGACCACAAAACAAACAAAGAAATAAATAAATAGACTAATTTGAACACTCAGCTGAATAATATGCCTCTTTTTATGTACCTATTACAAAACTGCATTCTCATTATCTTGGGGGATTTCACAAATTGCCAGGAGAAGGTCTTTTTTTGTAGGCATCTATAAAGTGCTCAAGCAGGGTGCTTCAAAATAATTGGAAAATCCATGAATAACCTCCTGGCTTTTTCTGTTTTAGGGGTGAGTTTACTCATACCACATGGCGCCATCCCAGAGGAAAATTCTTGGGAGATTTACATGTCCATCAACCAAGGTGAACCCAGGTGAGAGACAGAGAAGGAAAGTATATTAATGACATCTTAAATATGGATTGTGACTTTTGCTGAAGTTATAAAGTTAATGAGACATGGTAGGAATAGGTAAGATAGTTTGCTGCTATCTAATATAGGGAGTCTGTAGAAGGAAAAATCAGCTACAAAGCCATTAGAGAGAGTGAAAACATACATGGCTTCACATTTTATAGTCACTGGTATCTAAACAGCAGATACCAAAAGGGAAAGAGTTGGTAGACAGGTCATAAGCACGGCCTTTCCATAAACATTGACTGCCCCAGCTAGACTGCCTCTCAAAAATAAATAAAATTATCCCTAAAGATGCTCTTCAGTTCCAGGTATTATGTAAATTCATGCAGTGGTTGACTCATGACTGTCGAAGGCCAGCAAAAAACCTGCTCTGTATAAGCTAAGAGACAATTTCTTAAGTAATTTTCCTCTATGTAAAATAAATATGGTCTAAACTTCAATAGCTTTCAAGTCTGAGAAATTTCAGCAGCGTTAAATTCAATTACATGAACAAATACAAATCTTGTATTTTAATGAAAGTAGTTGGTTATTTTCTTAGTGCAACTATAATATTTGTAGAAATGTTGCCTTCCTCCACACATGATAAACCTAACTCCTCTTTAGAAGGAAATTTGTCTCATAAACTGGATACATACCTCTGGCATTTTTAGTCATAACATCTTGGTTATTTTAGAATAGATTTTTTGTTGTTGTTAGCAAAAAAAAAAAAATATGTAAAAGAAAAACACTGGAAAGAAAATCAGCTGAAGAAACAGATGGTTTAAACAGATTTTGATAGCTATTTCTATAAAATGGTGTGTGAGTACCCAGTGGTTCTAACTTTCTGCTCTATAGAGTTTGAGAGAAGTGGAAGAGAAAGTTCTGCCCAAGCATTGTTGATGAGGTTCCTAGAGGATGCACATGTAGCTGTGTTGTGTTGGCTGCTTATGTTTTTTTCCCTGTGGAGCTCCGTGGTTTTCCCTGTGTGCCTGGAAAGGTGGTGATATCTAGCAACCTCCTACTTGGCAAGCGGGGGAATCTGAGACTCAGGAAGGTTTGAAGAGTATGTCTAAAACTCTTATGTGAATAACTGAAGAGACCTAAATTTGGAGGAGTACTTCAGATTATAGTTACCTCTTTTTTAACCTTGATTTACCTTTGAAACCATAGCTGTTTGAAATTAAGGTCATGATCAATTGCACATGTGTTTTAAACACATCATCCTGCAAAATTCCAGTACAGTAATCCCTCTGCATCCATAGGAGATTGTTCCAGGGCCTCCCAAGGATATAATATCCGCAGATGTTTAATTCCCTTATATAAAATTGTATAGTTTTACAAATAACCTACATACATCCTCCTGCATACTTTAAATCATCTCTACATTACTTATAAGATCTAATACAATGTAAATGCTGTGCAGTTATTATACTATGTTGCTTAGCACATAAAAAGAAAAATTCCATGCATTTTGGTGCTTTTCAGATATTTTTAATCTAAGGCTTATCGAGTCAGCATATGTGGAACCTGAGGCCACAGAATACTGACTGTATAAACCAGTACCCAGTCAGTCTCCCCGCACCCCCGTTCTTCATTGCAATCGATCCACTGAGCCTGTGTTCAGCACCTTCTGCTCAAACCCATCCCCAGTGTCTTCCTCATTACATAAGAACCAACCTAGGGCTATTTCATATTTTCCAAATACCTAATTTACAGCTTACCACAATCCCTGTCTCTTACTAGAGGGTGCCTCTTCTTAAGAGGTCAGAGCTAGAATGTGCCAAACGGCATCAAGCACAAGGATTTAAGTAAAATGTCTCAAAAAATCTCAGAAAGGAATGATCAGCTGGGACACCCTGCAGTTTGAAGATGCAAGGGAGAAAATACCTATGATCTTGCTAGAGCCCCAAGTCCATGAAAGACATGCTCGCCTAATGAGGTTACTCCCTGGGCCAGATGAGCTTTGTGAGTTCCATGGTAACCAATTTTGTTTATCCATCTATGTCTAGGGTGAGTTCATTACTGCTGTCTAGGAAGTGGATGGAAACAAGAACAATTTATCTAAGACTTTCGATCTGTGAGGGGTGCATTTCCCTATTCAACTGTGGTAAAAATAAAATTGTACAGGGTACACATTCCTTTTCACATTGCTGAGAGCTTCTCCAATGTTCCTGTCTCTTAAGGAAATGACGAGTCTGCGGGCTATGGGACATTTAGCTTTCTTGGCAATCCTCATTCCCTATTCAGGGGCACCAAACTAGTTACAAAAACACTAATAATAGTAAATGTCTCTCCTATCATGGTTTTTTTAAAGCTGGGATGATATTTTTTTTATTTTAAAAATTAAAGGAGGAAAACATTAACAGACAGACAACCTTTTACAAAATAGGAGATCAGTACAGACAATACAGAGTTACAAACAAAGTGGTAGGAAATTAACAATGCTTGTTGTATTACATATTGATATCTTCAAAGTGGTTTCTCATGAAAA